CAGGCAAGGTTGTAGCCTTCCCTCGAAGAGTTGTTAGCTCTTCGAGTATCCCGGTCTGGGTTGTAGCCCGACCAACGAGAGATTAGGCCACGGGGTAGACACTTCTGGGTGGGATTTTAAGATAGCAACTCTCTCTCTCTCGAGTATAACGGCACCTAAGTGAAAGTTTACTTTGTAAAACTGTACAATTGGAAATCTAGAATAGAATACATATATGTTGTAAATAGTTTATATAATAAAGTTGAAATTGGATTTTAATTGGTGTCTAGAGAATTTACTTTGTAACGCATCCGCCATAGAATCCTGGGCCATAGAATTTAGATAAATTGTTAAATTGGGGCGGGAATTTTCTTGGGGACTCGCCTTGAGAAAATTTAGGTGTTACAGCAGTAAACTAATAGAGCGCGAAAATACACAATTGAAAAAATAAATTAACTTAACGTTAAAAAATAGGATTATAATTTGGCTACAGTTATTCGTTTTATTTTTTTTTTTAACAAATTTGATCATTCAACACAAATAAATACTTTGATCATGAAACTTTATTCGTAAAGGAGACAATTTTTACACTGTTGCTCTTTTAACTCTGTAAATTTTACATTTCTCAGTTTATTTTTCACTCTGTGTTAATTTGTAGTAAAAAATTTTAAACAATTTAATGGAATAGAAATAATTAATTTGTTGTGATTTGGATTATTTTTATTTTAAAATGAGAAAATATACTATTTGTTATCATCATTATTAATAGTGTCAAAAAATAATATATATTATCTTTGAGTAAAAATAGATTTAATAAACACTTATTTATTCATTTGTAATATAACAATAATAGTTCTGTAGTTCAATGAAATCATTAAATTCTATACAATACAATAATTACTACAAAGATTCAATTAATGTTTAATTATCTAACGTACGTTTATTATCTTCTTGTTTTAGGTGAGTGCCTCATCTTGGCTACACAGCCGTTGTCAAAAATTACAACATATTATCCTCCAGGCAATCGGATGAGAAACTTTAATACAGGTATTATATGTTGAGAAATATACGTATTTTCTCTCTACAAATTTTAAAAGTCAATTAAATTTAATAATTAATTTAATCTAGGTCGTTTCATTATTTAAAAGTTTTTACCTATACTTTTTTAAATTATTTTTTCATTAAAAAAAGAAAATTTTACATAACTGTAACAAATTTTTGAAAAATTAATTTTAACTTACAATTTTGCCTTTGAAATGTTAAGCTTAATTATTTGACTGTTCATGTGTGAATTTAGTTTTTTTTACTTTATAGAATTATAGATAGTTCAATCCCTTCTCTACAGCATATACTAAAATTAATAGATGGAAGTTTATTTAATATATTTAAAAAATTCATAGATAATGAAGAACAATTTTTTATGTATGAAAGATAAGATAGAAAAATCTTATATCTTGAGAAATTTTTATTTAGCTATACGTAAAGTTAACTTGGGCAAGTTAGTAGATGATAAAATTTCTGCTCGATGGAGTTAAAAAAATCTTATTGCATATCCTTTCTCCAGAAGGAAAGTCACGATCAGGAATGTAATTTTTTCCCATTTTTTTTTATTTCTCGTTTCGGTTAAAATTTCAACATGTACGATAAAAATTTTTATTTTCTAAATTCAATCCAGATTTTTTTTTTTTATATATTACAACTTGAAAATTACTTGAAAAATTGTTCATTTTATCATTTAGCAAAAGTTTGTAAAATTTTTGCAATTTATTATACAGTAGTTATTTTGTCATAGTGTTTAACTTTTCACTTAGAAATATAAAATTAAAATTAGATTAGAAGTTGTTTGAAAGCTTCTATCCAAGTGAAATTGGATCTCAATCAAATGTATTGCTTAGTTATTAAATAGATTATTTAAAAGGAAAAAAAGGAAAAAAAAATGAAAAGTAATTCCAATAGTATTAACATAAATTTTATAAAAAAATTCTTATGAAATAAAATTATTTTACTTTTGAAAAAGAAGAATTTAAATTGCAAATCCTGTAGAAATAAATTTTTGATAGATATTGGTAAATTATAAATTATTTTGGACTTATTACGAGTTGTCATTTCAAACCAGTCAAAGGTTTCATAAAAATTCGACACTAAAGAATTTATGAACAATGTTAAATACACGATGATTATAATTAATAAATACTGATAACATCAAAATAACAAAGAATTTTAAATTCTATAGTACCATTATTAAGTCTTGAATGCAATCTTTTTATGCGTGACATTCCTTGTCATGATGATGCTTGAGTTACTAGCGTAATATTCTCGTAAGAGATGTCGTCTAAGGTAATTTCGTCAAGATGAGGAGGACCTAAGGTTAATGTTGGAGATAAATAATGATAACGTGACAGACAACCAATGTATACATATATACTTAGGGAGTCATGAGATAAAATTACTAACAATTAATCAACTTAAGTACTTGAAAAGAATTCTTTTATACTTGATGAGAGATTTATTTCCGTAATTATTTTTAGATTAATTTACATCTTATTTGGTTAATATTCTTTTAAGCTTTTAATCAGTTCAATTATTTTCATAAAAAAATTTTTTCATTCTTTTTACCATTTTTTTTTTTTAATTAATAATTTGTAGAAAATTTAATGAACTTTTCTGAAAAATTTTTGTTATTTATAGTTCTAATAACATGATCATAATTTTTATTATAAGACATTAGCACTGAGCAAACGATTTATAAAAAAAAATTATTTCAGTGAAAATAAATTAATAAATAGTGAGAGCATTACAATAGTAATAATTATAATTAGCTTTTTAGATTGAGTTTGACGATACTTTTTTTATTATTCCGAATAAATCTATAAAAATATTTTAAAGCTTGAAATTAGATTATAGATTAATTGTCTCGAAATAGATTGCTATGATTTGACTCTAAAGGTTTTTAATTAACTCAACGTTAATATGATTACTAATGAGATACACCCGATTAATCGATAAAAGGCTATAACTAGTTTATGAACAGTTACTTAATGCATCATTCAATATAATAATTATATCAAGTAATATTTTTTAAATTTTCAATAAAATAAATATATTAAAATATTGTTGAAGTATTTAGACAGTATATTAGTTGATTAGATAAAGTTTTTTTTTTATAATTTATGGAGGCTGGAAAGAATGTTACAAAATGTATTTATCTCATATTAATAAATTTCTTTATATCAAAGGAAAACTAAAAAATTCTTTGAATTTATAACGACAATTTATTATAAACTTTTAACTTGTTATATAAGTTGAGGTACATTGAAAAAAAAAAGGTTGAATTTTCATTTCATTTTATTATAAATATTATTATAGCAATGTAGGTTTCCTCATTAAAAAAATAATAAAAAATGTTTTTTTTTTCTTTTATTCATCTTCGAGTATTTTCTTGTGTTATGATATACAGAATAACATAAATTTTATTTGAAAAATGTTGACGTCTGAAAAAGGTTACTAACAGTATCTAGGTATTTTTTAGTAAATAAATTCTTGAATGTAATAATTTGCGGCCGTCATTCTTGTCATGTTAAGCATGGTGGGTGATCATTTGCTGGTATAACGTCCAGTGACAATACGCAGTCGTAAAGTACTACGTATATTCACGAGATAAAGTGCTTGAGGGGCGCGTTGATTATCGCGTGCCAACACCCCCTATTCTCTTCCTATAACTGTTGGGATCGATTCACAGATGTATGTTAGGAGGCGTACGTACACATTGTGTTAGTGGTCATAATTTGGAGAACTGCTTGTACCGGATTAATCGTCAAGAGAGTATAAATGGTACCGCTGGTGAAATAGCACGTAAATCATCTGGCGTATATTGAAAGCAAATTGATGAAATTTTGATCAGAAAAAAAGATAGAAAACAGAGAAATGATCGTTAAAAATAACGAAAAAAAAATTTCTTTCTAATCTTTTGTGTTTTTTCATTTGTTTTTTTTTAAAAGACAGATACAGTCTTTTATATGTGAAATTTAAAAAAGTGCCATTACTATTATTTTTAAAAATAAAACATATGTTTATTTATTTAAAAAAAAAAAATCATAATTATATTAAACTTTAGTATCGAAAATTGTTATTACTAAAAACCTCCCAATTGTTTGTTTTATTCATAATTTCGATAAAAAAAAATAAAACTATTATAAAAATATATGGTTTCAATCATTTTTTTTTTTTAATATTAAAAAATGATATGCTTTATAGAATGGAAAAATAAATATAGTTAAATTAAGCACTAACAAAATGAACTCTTTCAAATGGTTTGAGAAATTCTATTGTGTCAAACTGTTTGAAATATTTTTAAATAACTTAACTTTAAAAATATTTTTCATGAATTTAGATTTTTCTGGCATATTTCTATTATGATTATTATTATTTTTACTATTGAGAAAAGAGCTCGTTAGGATTTACTTCGAATAGAATGTGTCTTTCTATTCTTATCATTTTTAGATCTACTTAGTTATAATAGAAGGCACAGCAAATATATAAACAAAAATAGAAAAAAATCAATTCAGCACCGAAGATAAAATTAATCAATCATGACTCGTATAATAATAGTAATTTTTAAGGTAATTATTGATATATAATCATCATTAGTTCGTCAAAGGTGTTGTAATAATGAATCATTGTCAACAATTTTTCTAATTTTTCCCAATTTTAGTAATTTTCTTTTACCTAAGGCTCTTCATTAATCACCATCTAAAATCTTAAAATTATTATTGATAAATAACTTCCTACTTGGAAGCTATCAATGTATCGATTATGTCATGAAATATATAATAACATAATGATAAAATACTTATAAAATCTCACTACTTAACAGATTCTTCTCTTCAATATACAAGTCTATCTTCTTTAATTTTCCCTGATTTATTAAAATTAAATCAAACTTTTTCTTGTATACTTAACTGATTTATCGTACAACAGCTTATATTTCACTCTTAATGAAGATCACGGTTGTCATAATATCAAATTAAAGCAAATAACTATTCCTAAATCTATCAGATAGACATACGTTGATGATGGAAAAATTCTCAATGCTACTTATATGCTTTATCTTATCAAAATGACTATTCTTGATATTTTGTTCAGTACTAACTATTCCTTTCTACAAAACTGAAGGTTTGCTGCGAAACGCTCTAACCGGATTATAAGCTTAACGTAACTGTTTCAGACGTCAATTACTTACATTTTCTTGCAACAATCATTCTTGTCGTTTATTTAAGGCACATAAGCTATTCATTGACATTTAGTTATTGATTTCGAATTATTTAGTATAATGTTGTTCAGACTACCAATTGCTCTGAGAAAATGGTACACTTGGCCACAATGGTTAGCGTCCTTTGATGGTAAAGTAGCAATATCTTTATTTTTATATTCAGCATTTGATCATTAGAATTTAATTTAATGACAGTAACTTGGATACCAAAGCTTTAAGCTCTAGTCAATTAGATTAAAGTGTATGCAATGTTAATTTTCAAGTATTTCTTTCAAAGTCATTTAAATTAAATTCAATGATTGTTTGATTTTTGTATTTCTTTCTATTTTAAAATAAATATTTACAGTTTTCCTTATATCATTTATGGTTGGCTTTCAAAATGGATGGGCATCACCAATTTTGGCAAAATTACGGAGTGCTAATTCAACGTTACCTATAACAGATTCTGAAGCATCATGGATAGCATCACTTTTAAATGCAGGACGTGCTTTTGGTTCAATAGGAGGATTATTCTGTGCTGAATATTTCGGTAGTAAAACCTCTCTTGTTCAAAATGCATTCATCCATGGTATAGGCATGGCTTGTCTTCTTTACGTAACTTCAGTAAATTGGCTCTACGCATCGCGATTCATCGTGGGATTTGGATCAGGCATGTGGCAGACTATTTTTCCTATTTACGTTGGAGAAATATCCAATCCAAAGATCCGGGGTGCTCTAGTTAGTTTTATCACTCTTGGCATGCCAATTGGCTACATGATAGGCAATATTGTTGGAGCTCATACAACCATGTGGGCCTCTGGGTGCTTTGGTATAGCAATAATTGCCATGTTTTTACTACTCTTCTTTTGGTTCCCGCATTCACCTTATCATCTTGCGATGCATGATCAAATTGATAAAGCTCTTGCTTCAATAACATGGTATCAACGAGATGCAGATGCTGTTATTGAATTGGTATCAATTAAGGAGTATGTTGAAGAAAAAAGATGGCTTAAATTAACAGATTATTTCAATGAAATGTTACGTGATGTTAATAGAATAGCACTCTTTAAAGTTACCATGATTCATTTATTATTACAATTTGCTGGATTTTGCACTCTTGGCTACTACATGGAAATAATTCTTACCACCGCACAAATTAACTTTATGAATCCTGCAGATGTAGTTTCAGCTATAGCAGGAGGTGGTCTTATAGGTGGACTTATATCGATATACACTTGTGATAAATGCGGTCGTAAAGTATCCATGGGAGGTGGAGCACTCGGTTTTGCATTTGGATTGATTGGAGTAGGAATTTATTTTCACTTAATTTATTTAGGTATTCCAGTTGCTGAAACATTCCAGTGGGTACCAGTTTTAATGATTATTATTTTAGAATTTGCTATTAATATTGGAATAGATCCAGTAGTTGGTACCATTTTTAGTGAAATGTTCGCGCCAAGTATTAAAATTACTGCTAGTAGTTTAATTAATTTTTTCTCTAGTGTTTTTGCTTTCATTTCTACGCAGTGGTATCAATCATTAGTTGATGCCGTTGAAATTCATTATGCATTTTATTTTTTTAGTACTAGTGCAGCTTTATTAGCAGTATTTTCATTTTTATTTTTGCCAGAAACTAAAGGTAAATCTTTGCAAGAAATTCAAAAAATGCTTAGGAATAAATAAAAAAATTTTAATACTAGGTCGCGATATATTATTTTATACGATCAAAATAATTTTTATGACACATAACTATTCACAGACAACTTCAAATTATAAAACGACTCATGATTGCTTATCACATGTTTGTCAAGTCATAAATATCCACACAGTGATACTAAGTTGAATTGAAATTGTTAATGCTTGTATATTATGTTTAAAATCAAAGACAAAAATATTGAGGTAAGGTTATTTGTTAATTGTCTGTTGAATTGATTGTTGAAAATTTACCAAATGAGAAATTTTGTAAAATTACTTCACTCAGAAATACAAATAGTTCTTGTTTTAAAGTGGATTTTAAAAAGAACTTATTTATAAATAACTCATTAAAAATTAATAATTGTTTAAAACTAAAAAGTACATCATTTCACTGTTTTTAAGTAATTTAACTTTTTTTCTCTAGCATGGTTATAATTAAACAATTTAGCGAATTTAATAAAACTATAATGTCAACGTATTATTTACGTTTTAGTATTGTGACAGGAAATTATTATTATAAAATAATTTTTTACAATAATTTTTGTAATAAAATTAAATTATTAGTAAAATATTCATTGATAATAGTTAGATTTTACAAGAAAGTCTTTTATAAGTTTTTAAGAGCTCTTTAATAAATTTTCTGGTTAATTAATATAGTCTTAGAAAGTTCTAGACAGAGATTTCTGAAAACTAATAAAACTAGTTAATTGTGTAAAAGCAAAAAGTGTCATTTTGTCACAAAATTGGAATGTTTTAAGCAAAAAAATATTATTTAGTTGTTTTAACAAATTTTTTATTTTTATTTTTTCTTTTTATTAACAATACTATGTTGATTAGAAGATTTATACTAACAGTAAAAGTTTTTTTATTTTCGTATTCAAATATATGTAACAGTCTAGTAAGAGAGAGTATGTTGTTTTTTTTTATTACGAAAGGTGAGAACAAAGAAAAAAGAACAGAAGTATGAAATAAAGAAGATACAACTTCCAGTTCTTTCTTTAAATGCACTCAAGTTGGCGTCGTCATCATGTAGTTGAAAGTCAGAGTTGGAATTTTAAATCTCAAACTTTGCTTTCGATAGATTCTTTTAAAGACATGAAAAATACAAATTTATTATTTTTTATATGCATATATAGATATTGTTTATTTTTTTTTTTATTATAATAAGTATTTTTCATAGTTTTATATACTTACACGTTCACAGCATACATAGTTTACCGCATGCATTATTCGAGTATTAAATCGTGCGAGAGTAATAGCAGCTATAAATCTTTTTACCTTCCTAAAAACTTCCATACTGTAAGAATTCCGCTATTAACATGTATCAAGCTTATTTTTCCGTCATTAAAATGTTATCTTATATATTTTCTGAACATCTATGGTTTATATTGTATCAGAATTTTTATCTTAAAAAATTATCTTTTTATTAGAAAATAATTTAACAGCTTTTTTTTATAAATTTATGTTTTAGTTAAAATAAGTTATATTACGAATAAACTAAAGTGAAAATATTATTTTTGTATGAATATCAAAAACTTCCCTGTGAATTGATGAAAACTTTAGAAGATAGAAACGTCGAGAAAGAAAGAGGTCATTTTGTTCCAATTTCTCCAATATTCATTTTTTTAGAAAAAATAAAAAAAAAAGATTTTTTAATAAAATTTTTGTCATCTTGATAATTCTAGTTGATCAAAAAATATTGAGTTTTTAATACTTTTCTCGTACGTTTTGATTGATCAAAAGTGGAAATATTACATTCGATTGTTTAATAATGCATGTCATGCTATGTATAAATTTTTGTTATATCAATATTAAATTGATATTATGTTCCATCACTAATAATCAATAAATAATGACGTGCTAAAGTAATATGCTATGTCAACCGAAAAATCGTTCATTAAATTGAACAATATTTAGTTGATGAGAAATCTTTTGATGTACAGAAAATATTGTAATAAAAAAAATTTCTATTTTTAATAATTTTTTGATAGATTGACTTCAATTATCATCAAAGGTCCTTTAAGACTGTTCAATATTAATTTTAAAGAACTGTAAAAAATGTATTTTTCGTAACAAAAACATAATAAAATAAAAAAGTATTGATCAAATACGTAAATAAAAGAAATTATTATTTAAACTGACTCATTTAAAAAATAATTATAAATAAACTACTTGCAATTAAGAGGTGTTTCATGAAGAATTAATTGAGAAAATAATCACTTCCAAGTTAAAAATTTAACTAAGCAAAAAAAATGTAATCTTATGAAAAACTTAATCATAACAAAGTTTCGTTACTTTTTTATAAATTTAAAATAATTTTGTTTATAATACCATACATTTTTTGCAATAAACAATAGCAAAGTATAAAAAAAAATCAATAAAACATAAAATAACCAGTAAGAGGATGAGATGTTGAAGACTTAAACAGCAGTAGCAATTTATGATCTTCTTAGTATGTTTTCTTATACAAAATACTACAGACTCAGCATTATTCTGTAACTTGACCAAGTTATTAACTGATATCTTTCAAAGATTGTATTTTGAATGTATATACGTGAGAGTGGAGATATGGAATATGATTTGAGTTGCAATACTGAAGATGCTGTAAAAGATAGACGAGCGCGTTAACGGACTAGCTAGTTCGAAAGTTCTAGAGAGGAGGGAAGCAATTGAAAAGCAAGTGGTTGAGTTCTTGAGTCTCTCTTTCGTGTAGAGAGTTGGTAAGCTTAAAAGTTCAAAGCTCACAAAGTGTCTCGACCCTTGAGCATTTTTGTATATGTATAGTGCTCATTATATAATTACTTTTTTGTACCAAAAGGCTAAGTTTAATCTCATGATTTTATAATTCTTACTCATTTCCACTGCATTTTATATGACAATTATTTGGGTAAAGACGAACAAAAAAAGTTGAAATAAGAAAAGCAGACTATTATTATAGAATATTTAATGAAATGTTAAATAAGTAATGAAGTCTTGTGATTGATTAAGTACGTCTAAATAAATATCTTTGATGTTTAGCCTTGACTCTAATTAAATAAATAATCTCTTTGAGTCTCTATCATATAAAATATTTTTGGTATGTGACATGCTTGCAGTCGAAATAATTGAGGTAAACCATGAGTGGTCAATAAATCGATAAAAGCTCTCGTGAATTACCGGAAGTTGCTTTTGGAAAATTTGGGTCATCTCCAACCTTTCTTCTCTATATATGTATATAACTTGGCGACAAACCAATGTCATTTGTTCCTGTGTTTTGCCAATGGTATGACGTATAGTTAAAACTCTGTCAGGATTGTCTGTAGCAGATTGGAAATTTAGCCACGTATTCCTGGCGTAATTCATTGATATATTGTATTTATTGTCTTCATCGATATATTGTAAACTCGCTTCAAACTAATGACATGATCTATTTGTTACTTTCAAGAGTATTTTCATTATCACTATTCACATTGTATTATGCTGCATGTGTGGTCTTGCCATAAATACTGTCAGCAATATTTAGTTATAGTTCAAGTAATGATCAGTTTTGATACTTTATCAACTTTATTATCTTTTTGATTTTCGGTTTTAATTTTTTTAGATTTTTCAAATTAATTTATTTTCCATATAAACTATTTTCATATTGATTTTATTTCATCAGTACTCGTTATTTTAACATGTTTGGATAATATGTTTTTAAATAAAAAGCTAAAAGTTGTGTTATTTAATATTATTAATAATTTTGTTGTTTGTATTAGAATAAATGAAAATTATTTTTATCTTATTTTTAATTTTACTCGTGAATTTATTTATAGAAATAAAATTTGAATTATACTCTTTAAAAATATACAAAATACGAAATGTTAATTTAACTTCCTTTTTTTTAACATTAGCATCATCTATAGCTATTCAATGATGAATTTGAATGAAGAAACATTTACAATTAAAAACAAAAAACTATCAGAGCTTTTGGAAACCTTAGAAATGATTTTTATCCAAAACTTTCAATATTTACATAGAAAAAGAATTACAAACCAACACGTTATTTTCTTGCCAAACTGATAATTAAAGTATAAATCAAACGATTCAAAATAAAACAAAAATATTTTAAAATTGATATAAAATAATCTTATAAATCTATTTAATATATATCAATATTCTTATCACAAATTTTACCAGTCACTTCACAATATCTCGATTAAAATTCAAATCTAGATAATAATGGCAATAAGAGATTAATATTTTAATTAATTGATTTTTTTTATTAAAAACAAACCATTTACAATTCATATATAATCAATATATTATTTAATAAAATAAAATATTCAAAAAAATTATATTTATTATTTACATTTTATTTACAATATAATAATCATTGTACAAGTAGCACACTTACTCAAATATTATCCTTGTATGATTTTCTCTCTATAAACATTTCATTCAATTTATCGCAAAAATCTCACACTTCATGCCTTTTCTAATTTACTATCATTTCTAAAATTATTATCACTACTATTATTCTTAACATCCAAGTCTTTCTTCTTACTTTGTTTTATTAACATAGTCTGAATCTCAGCAAGAGATTTACCTTTAGTTTCAGGTATATAAATCATTGTATAAACGGCCAATGAAACCATACTTAACGAATAAAGCCAAAAAACATATTTTTCTGTGATTAAATCAACCATGATTTGATAAGTTCTACTCACAGTGAATGCACATATTGCTGATACAATATTGCATATACATGCACCAAAACTTTTGATATTTGGTGCAAACATTTCACTGACTATTGTCATTGGTACTTGCATGAGACCAATAGCTACAGTTATTTGGTATATTAATGCAGCACTAATTGACATCCATTGTAAATGAGGATTTTCTATTCCTAATTCGAGAAGATAATAATTAAGACCCCACAAAAACATACCAGTAGCTACTCCAAAACTTGAAAGTGTTAACATAATTTTTCTACCATATTTATCATTAGCATACATTGATGCTATGCTTGCTATAATACCTAAAATACTTACAATAATTACCATCATAGCTGGAGCGATAACTGTTACTTGATTTGCAGTGAAAATAATTTCCATGTAAGCAGCAACTGTGTAAAGTCCACTTGATTGAACAAAAACCATTATTAAAGTAACCATTATGAGTGATTTTCGATTAACAGGAGTATTCATATCGCGCATAGTTTCATAAATATTCATTGTTTTATCGTTTTCTAAAAAAAAACGAAGAGATTCAAGTTCTTGTTTAACATCAGCATTTCGATTGTAGGCTTTAATTGACTTGGCAGCTTCGTCATATCTTTTAGCACGGATTAAATGATGTGGTGTTTGTGGCATTATCGCGAAGAATATAATAAATATTAAATTAGGCACTAGACTTACTGCTGCAAAACCTGATAGATCAAGATACGTTCCAGCAATGTTTCCTATTAAATTCCCTATCGTCACTCCTTGCATAATAAAACTGACTAATGCACCTCGAATTTTAGGACTAGATATTTCTCCCATGTATAACGGAAATGAACTATATAACATGCCCACACCTATTCCACTGAGTGTACGAGAAAAATATATCAATGGTACGGCATTTGAAATAAAAAAACACATCCACGCGAGTGCAAAAGGTATTCCAGAGGCAAGCGTTGATAGTTTACTGCCTTTAAAATATACAAGTGCTGCTCCCATAATTGCTCCCAAAGGTCTGGCAATATTGATAAGCGATGCTATCCAAGATGCTTCATCTAGGGTTATCTCAACCGTTGAGTTTGGTTTAGTTAGTTTTGCTAAAAATGGTGATGACCATCCTGCTAGCAGTCCAATCATTCCCTCTATCAGAAAAACTTAACCACATTGAATTGATTAATGATCGATAATTCTTTTAAGTGTTCAGTAATTTTATTTTCAATATTTTAGTAAACTCACTTTCTATAGCAGCTATCCATTGAAGCCACAGGCCAAATCGATGTTCAATTGATTTTGTTAATGGATTCATTATCACTATTTTATGTTTTTTTTTTGTATTTTACAAACTTTCTTTTATTTTTTAAAAAAATGATATTTATACGATTGATTGGATAATTGAGATTAAAATACTTTTAAGTCATTGTCACTAGAGAGATTTTTTAGGGATAAATTTTACTAACTCCAGTAGCTATTCAGTACTGATAATGTAAAATAATGTACGTAGATTTATAAGATACTTTCATGTCGCCTGATCGGCGCTTACTAATCGAGCCACTCATATTTTATATATACTTAGATACTTAGACAAGTGTTTATAGTGTCATGCATGAGAAGTTGAAGAAATTCGTAAAAATAAATATCAAATTTACTTTGGTATTAAATATCTAATGTGACTCGAGTCTTTACTTTTAGTGCTTAGATAGAAAAAAATGAAGATAATTCAAAAATTGATAACTATTTTTAAGTAGCTTTTATTACTTATCTTTACTATAATAAGTAGGTAACGATGACAGATGTGGATGAAGAAATATTTTTGTAACTTTATTTAAATATATTGATAATAGCTATGTTTACACATGGAAGATAGATATCATTGAAGATTAGAGAAAAATATTATGTAAAGTGAACTGAACAGTTTTACATTCTTCGAGACTTTCTTTTGTAAAAATGAATGTGCTAAAAAATCTCTAAAACAGGAAATTATTGATTAAAAGGAAGATGAAGGAACAAATAGCTGTGATCCGTGATTATTTTTAAAATAAATAACAATGACTTGTAGTAACTATTTTATCTCCCAATCGAAATCTTAAAATAGATTTGAAGACTGATGAATAATACTTTGAATGATAATTAAGAATTTTTATTTATTTATTTATGAAGAATTTATAATCTAATCTAAATTTAAATTTAAAACGTGTATTTTGATAATTGTAATATTGTAATGAGTACAAAATCTTCCATACCATTTGATTAACATTATAGTCACTTTAAATGCGTTTCTAAATGTGTAAAAAGTGACAATAATGTTAATCATTTGAGTGACGTCATATTTAACACGTTTAGATGTGTAACAAGAATGCACTTAGATTTACAGTGATATGCATGCATTTTTAATTTTATGCAAATATATTCGAGAAAGAAAACGGTGTCATTTATTACCCTACAAATTCAAGTATTTAGAATCTAAACACTTCGGTGTTCAATTATTAAACACTTTAAGTATTTGATTACTAAACACTTAAGTTTTTTTAAATTTGCAGTGTAAAAATAGGAAAAATGATATTTATTAATCACAAATAAGTTCGAAATCATGCATACGTTACATAACCCTTGAAGGGATTAATGCAGTTGATGAAGTTTGCCTTCAAAAAGCTTTTGATCTCTCCTTCCTATATGAGAGTTTCCATCTCACTTCGTCTGTCCCATCAGTCCCAAACCTGAAGTATACATGTTTAGGTTCTTCGTTTGTAAGCAAATCGTTTGGACTTCAAATTAACTACAACAAACAAGTTTTTTTCCAAACATAATAAACTGATAAACAAAGATATAAAGATTAATCGAGGTACTAAAATATATTACGCGCACAAAGTGTGCGCAGGTAAAGAGATGATAATTTTAACCAATAAGAAATCAGTCGCTCAATTGATGGTATATTTTGATTATTGACCAACTTTATATGTCGATGTAAATTCCTGAATAAAATAGAGATTGGTGTTAGGATATGTACAAAATTCATTCATTAATAAAGTAATTACTTTATTTATTCGTTATTTATTAAATTAATTATTGCATGTTTCTTAGCACTTGTTCATGCATAAATGATCTGCATGTGTTTCACTGATGATTAAATTACGTCTGATCAAGTTTTTATTATGTTTATTGAAATTTAGTGAACAATATGTAATAAACGAAAGGATATTATTCTCAATTTTTTAGTTTAAATAAAGAAATACAAGATTATATTCTCTTTTGTTTAATTATTTTTTAAAACGTTATTCCATAATAATTATAATAATAGTTTTCAATAATTAAGTATTTCTCAATTCCACAATAATTAATAAATCAAATACTATTTTATTTTAAATCATGACCTGGAGAAATTCACAATATTTATTTTTATGATTCATTACTATTCAAAAAGCTTTTCTATATTCTACTAAAAGTATTAATATTAAATGCATTTTTTCTCATTTATTTGTTCAACTTCTTCTTTAACTGTCTTATTAAATTTTCATGATCAGTGCGCAGTTGACATTCCTTTTTAATATCATTTTATATGATTTATTTATTAAATACAATTTATGTATTAAAAATTATCAAAGCAGACTCTTAGTAAGTTTTTTTTTTTATCATTTTATTGAGTTTACTGAAAGAACAAAAGATAAAAATAAAAAAATTGAATTATGTGGACGATAGGTTAAAGCTCTGGGAATACTCAAAGTTGACGTTTTGTAATAGCTATCGACTGGTTATTTGTCTCTGTGAAAGTCATTCATTTAACGTAACGACGAGTAATAAGGCCTAAAAGCCATTAGGTTACTAAGATCTAATACTCTCTCATATTTCTCAAGAGGTGTAGCGAACAAGAATATGATGAAAAGATATCGTTTTTTTTTGTCTTATTTTTGTAGAACGTTGCTTTAAGAGTCAAGTACTAGCTCTGAAGATTCAATCGAATTCTTCATCTCACGTTTTTTTCCTCTTTATTTTTCATTTTTTTTTTTTTTTATCAAGTTGTGAATTTTGATCTCAAAAGTATAAGAAAATATTTCACAAGTCATTAAGTACTATCTTTGATAAATCCTTCAACATCAAACTGTAAAAGTAATTCTTAGATCTTCATTATTTTCATCTTCCACTTTTTTTTAGACATTGATGAGCTTTATTACATTTAACCCTCTGTCGATTATTTTTTTTCCTTGCTTTGTAACATTTCTTAAGATTTGATAAAAAACGTCTTATAAAATTTTTTTTATCTTTATTAAATGGTTTTTCTTCAGAAAATTTGATAAAAAGTTCGAGATGAAAGAATTGTGATTTTTAACTTATCCTGTTATAGATATAGGACAAATTATTTGTTATGAACAGATTAGCTTATTTAAGGAAAACAAATATGTTGATTTAGCTGGTAATAAACAATTAATTTTGAATTACTAAATTACCAGAATGACTAATGATCATGTAATTAATTGTTTTAAGTTATTTATATAATAATAACATGACAATTTTTTATACAACTTTTTATTTTATATTAAACACCAGTTGTTGTTGAAAGACAATATATAAATTATAATATTAAAGGTATATAATATGTTTTTTTTTCATCACAATTTTATTCATCGTTATCAAAACATTAATTAACTCATTTATTAACTTACGATGACTTGCATAAAAATTTCTTAATTAGATAATATAAAAAATGTTCATAATTTATTCATAATCTTTTACTTAAACAAAGTAAACTTATGGAATAAAATCTTGTATAACTTCTGATGTCATGAGAATATAAAAATAATTAGCAAATGCTGAATCAGTAACTTCATTTAATATTTGAATTCAGAAGGTTTGCGAATCTTCTTCATATATATCTACAATACCTAAAAAGTTATCTCAAACATCAGATCGTTCTCATTTTTAAAAATTGTTCATAAAATTCATCATTATAGTTTTTTCTGTTTAACTAACAGAAAAAAGAATTAATGTTAAAAGTATAATAGCCATATATTGACACTTGTTTTTTGTTAAATAATTTTATTTTATTTGATTGAGGTTATATTTTTTATTAGATTAGAGCCGCTAAAGATTTTTATATTTTTTGTATAGCACAGACACATATGCAACATTTATAGCAGCTATTCCAGCAATTTTCTGGAAAAATTTATAATTAATATAATATAAAAAAAGAAATAAATAAAATGACATATTTTGTATGAATATGAAACACAATTGGTACATTTATTTTCAATGAGGTACAAAACTTGGAAGAAATACGTTCATACAGAAATGTAATGCTCGAATGGGGTGGATGATTTGGTAGAATTAGAGGTGGTACAGTTGGTGGGAATACACACAAGGAGGAGAATGCGGGGTCAGGGATGCTACTGGGTCGTTGGGGGTAAAAAGGAACGACGCCGGTAGTCAGTGGATATCAGTCGGCGTGTTCGGTCACAGAGTAGTTTTGCTTTAGTCCATTACAAATATCATAATAGTTATTGTGTAAACGTTAATAATAATGCATATGACTTTAAATACTGAGTATTTAATTAAATGGCAAAAAAACAGTCATGATTATTTACTTGTTTTTTCAAATAATCTTGGGATTATCAAGTCTCTTGTGTGTGTGTCTGAAGGATTACGAGATTAAACGAATTCTTGTGTCATAAAGTTTAACTTTTTATTTAAAAACAGCGAACAAAAAAAAACTTATAAGTCTTGGGAATAGAATTTAATTAAAATAGATAAAGTCTTTACTATGCAACTGTTGAGTATAATGTTTTAAAATGAGTGCTAATATCAATTTTTTTATTGAATAGAACCAATAAGTAATTTAATCTAAATACAAAACAATGATTTATATAGAATGAATTAATTGAATAATTGTGTCAATGTAATGTGCAGTTCTAGTTATAATGATGTAAACACGTTGAATTTAATATTAAACTAGTCGGCTGTCAACATTTTTGAACTTTATTAAATAATTTTGTTATTAATTATTCTATAATTATATGTATAGACAACATATCAAATATTTTCTAATGAACAAAGAAATGGAATGCAATTAAAATTGTCTCTTAAATAACAAACAATTCTATAGTTGATTGAGCAATAAGCAATAGAAGATTGTTTTATTACATAAAAAAAGTTAATGAATTAAAGTGTAATTAGAGTGATTGTTGTTTATATTGAAAATATTTCAGAAATGTATACACACATTCATGGAGACAATGGCACATGCTGTTACATCCCTACTCTCATTTATCTCGAACGTTTTCGTAAGTTCATACATGCAGTCTTTTGTTCATTACATTATTTTATCGATTCGATTGTAATGGGTTTAATTAATCTGTGATTTATAGACCTAGATGTATTCTATTCCAGTAACTATGTTGTATGAAGATTAATTATTACAAGAGACTTATAGAGGATATTTTTTGGGATTATCCATTTGATGAACACTGGAATGAGTATTAAGTCTTCATAGTATATAAAGCTGTGAATGGATTAGCAATTGTATGATTTTTTAACCCCATTTTAAAGATTATAGACAAATTTATGTTCTGAAAAGTTAACAATCTCTTTTGAGAATTTAATCTCATTTTACAAATATTTTTTTTTTGTAATCACTAAATAATGAATATAAATATTCAAGACGTTATTAAAATTTTCTTTAAATTTTAATACAATTATTGCATTAAAGAAATAGTAAAGAATCAACGAAAATGTAATAAAATGTTTATAAAACGTTGTGTTGAATAAATTTAAATATT